CCCAGAAAAGTGGGCAGGCGTGTTGAGGTGAAGAAAATCAAAAGTTGCAAGAAAAGTAATCCTCTCGCCTTGAATGCTTCAGCAACCTTCTCGAGTGAATAAAGGTTGAAAACTGGTCATGGCAAGATAAAGACATGATAGTGTGAAAGCTACTCATTGGAGTTAAAGATGACCATATGTTTTGATTCAGGACGAGCTGAGTATGTGCTGCGAACTGGAAAACTTCAGTCTCTGAGACATCACTCTAAAACGGTAAAGTAAATCTGTGTCAAAAATCTGTTTTCAAAAGCCAGTTTAAATCGTGACAAGAGCCATCATTATCAGAATAATTCCCATTAGTTTCTTAAATTGAATGTGGCTGTTAATTCATGTGTGGGAAAAATCTAATGAGTCTATTGAGATGTTGCAGTAATCTAAAGCTGGTTCAGAATTCGTCCCGGTTCAGAAAAATCCGGAAGATGGGCCTTGGAATATTTGATGTGGATCATGAGTTTGAGAGGAGATAGGCTTCAGCGTGGTTTGGGCCTCGAATGACATTAGGGATCGAAGAGGATTCTTCCGTCAAACGATCTGAATCAACTTCAGCTACGGGATGAGTCAAGTGAAGACGAAGGGTCGACGGTCTTCAGACTCAGGCCTTGAATTAAGCATCGAGGAGATACCGCCTTCTGATGCTCGCAACGACGAATCGACCGATCTCATCGGGCAGCTTGCAGAAGATTATCGGAGCAGATCTCCGTCGCCTGTCTCTGGCGAGAAATCAGAGGAGAAGGAAGAAGTAGAAGTCTCCGATTCAGCGTGGGGATCGGAAAAAGAGGTCGACGATGGAGAGGCTTCAACTCAGGAGCAGAAAGCGGTGAAGCTGGAGAAGAATCTGGAGAAGAAGAAGGGGAAACAGATCAAAGAGCAAGAAGACTCTGAATCGAGTGATTCAGAAGAAGCTGGAGCAGGATCTGCTGCAAGAGCAGAATCCGTAGCTGGTGGTGCGTCGTTTTCATCTGACAAGTTCTGCTCAGCTGGAGCATATGAAAGTTACTTTGTGTTTAAAAATCGTGGAATTATCGGTGAGAACCTTGTTGATTTAGAGAACCAGAAGGAATTCGAGTACCCATCTGTGATAGCTAAAGCTGGATTTATTCCCACAGTCTCAATTAAGTCAGGTTATGCTCGGAAAGTGATCAATGAATTTTATGCTAATTTGGAAGATACTGTGTTAGTTGATGGGGGAGTTTTGGTCTTAGTCAGAGGTCAGATTATAAGGTTCAGTCCTGCTCGCATCAACAAGTTTTTGAAGATGTCAGAATTGAGTTCCAAGAAGAAGAAAGCGGCTGCAGCACTTGACAAAGTGGATCCAGATTCTATTGCAGCATTTCTGAAGGGAGATGAAGCTCAGAAGGATGTTGTTCCGACCATCAGCAAGCGTCACAAGAAGGTTCCAACACTGTCTACGGTTCACCTGTCACCAAATTTTTCTGCATTGGCCATTTTGGCTGGGTACAACTGGTACCCAACGACTCATCAAACACACATTGCTCAGTACAGAGCCCTGCTTCTGTACAAGTTGGCTCAAAAGGTTCGAGTAGATTTTGGAGCAATGGTGTTTCAGCAAATCATGGCCATCAGCCAGATTGAGAGAGAGGATAATAAGCAGCCTGATGCAAGAAAGTTGGTATTTCCACACCTGATTGCTGGGATGATTCAAGATCAATGTGGTGCAGTCTCTGGTGAGGATGAGGTTGTGGTTCTTCCCTCGTATTATCAGATGGACACCAGGACTGAGAAGAAAGAAACATGAGCAACTCGGTCATCACTGCGTACTAGGACCAAGGTTGCTGAGACAGTCAAAGAGGAAGTATCAACTAAGAAGAGGGCTCAGCCGGTTCCAAGTCAGCCTGCACCAAAGAAGAAGGTTAAGAGAGAGCCAGAGCAGTCAAAGCCATCCAGTTCAGCAAGCGTTGCCGCACCAATTGATGTCTCACTTGGTCACATCAGTGTACCTCAGGGAAACTCGAGCCAGAGGGTTGTCAACAAGGCACTATACCAGATCACCTCCGTTCTGCATCAGCTGGCTGGGATAGTTCAGGATGTGCACCAAGCCAATCAATGTACGTCTCCGTGATCTCTTCTCATTCTGCTTTTACACTAATGATTGTGTTGTTAACTTGTGTGCTCCCAAGCAGGGGGAGAAAGTGATGATGAGAGTGGCTAAGTAGATCAGGGTTCATGGGGGAGCATGGGGGCTATTTTTGTCTTTTTTCGTTTTAAAGATCGGTTTTTGTATCGATGAGTTGGAATCTGTGCGTGCTTGTTGCTAGTTGTCTCTGTGTTTGTGTAAGTTTGTATTGCA